TTAGTCTTTGTGGCAATGAATTAGCAAGTCCGAAGGCAGCACAGGTTACTGCAGCGCAACTTGCTGCCTCCCCCCCCATACTCAAATGTGCCAACAACGTGGCGACTTCACCGAAGCGTAATGCAAGAGGATGAGGGAAGAGGTGGAGTTGATGCGCACTACTTTACATCCTCCTACTCTTCTCCTTCCACACATGCATGCAAAAAAGTCCATTTCTCCGCTTTGCGTCAAGGTGAGTGGAGGAATATTGGGTGAACACCACATCGACAGGAGAATATGCTCTCAGGATCCACCCTTAACCATGTCCGTCTCCATCGAACTCTTCTCCCTCTCCTTCCATAACACCTCCACAACTGAGTGGACATGACTGAAGGACGAAATCATCCCCCAAATTCCGAACAAACTCTCACTGCCACCTTCCCCACCACCACCACCACCACCACCATCCCCTTATACTTCGAAGTCGTGCTACCTCGAGGTCCGTGACTGAAGCATGTAAGGAAACAACAGGATCGATGCACTGAACCGTCTCACATCCATGCTGCCAACATCAGTGGAGAGAGAGGGAGGAGGAGAAGAGAGCAAAATCTTCTTAGCAAAGTTGCTTCATTTATGATCACTGAACATCAGCCATCAGAGGGAAGGTGATGAGACCAAATATTGATGCTGTGGAATTGGAAATAGGTGGATCTATCATCACCTTTCAACGCCATCAAATCAATGCATTTAAAGACTCAATGGTGGCAATAATGCTGGTGGTGGTGGTGGTGGTGTTGGTGGAGATGGTGAGGATTGCTCTGTCGGAAGAAGCAATGCATTGTCTTGGCAAGCGTCTGCGTTATCGAATCCCTCTTCCACCCACTGGAGCCACTAAAACCCAATTTGGCTACTCCACACTACATGAACAACGCCGACAACGCCCTCTTCATACCACTAAGTCGACCCTATTTTGGTCCGTACACAGAAGAATGTGGCAAGTGAGCTGTAAACGCGACGTCGAATACGTTAATGTGGTTTCGTGATATGTCGTCGTGACGTGACGTGCCAGTGCAGCTCGGATTGTCTGCACATTTTCACTCCCAATACTGCGCACATTAGTGGTGACTTAAACGAAGGCAAACCCTCGGCTACAAAGCATGGAGATGGAGAGACTTGACTACCATTACAAATCTCCACCCACGAAGAGGTCAAGTCCTTCATTCAGCCCACACCGCTGGCATTCCTACAAGCCGTAAAGAACGTTGAGATCACAAAGGAAGGGGTCTATAGTGGGCAGCAGCTGTTTGGCGGAGATTGTTTCCGCTTGAAGCAAGGTGACAGATGGAACCCACTGAGAACAATGACAGCTTCAAGTGCCAGCCCTGACAAGTGACTAAATCTGCTCCCCACTTCCCATAGTGCACAGCTTCTTTTCCAGTGCAATTCATCCAATTCGCCTCGATGACTGCCTCGTGCTTCCTTGCCGCACTCCACCTGCAGACATTACAGACTGCTTGCACGTCGAGTCGAGTGGGAGCCACCTGAGGAGCAGTGACTAGATTAGAGTGGTCATGACACACAGATGGAAGCAGTTGTCAAGTTAAGGCAATGCTGTCATCTCACTATCGGTGCAAATAACTCACATGACCAAATGCCACAAACCACTACAACAGTGGTCGCGTGGCAGAGAAGCCACGTGAGTAGAGACTGGAAGA